TTCTTCGGATGCATATATCAAGAAGTGGGCTGTAGTCCACGAAAGCTTATGCTCTAATAAATTTGTTAGTCTCTAAGGTGCCACAAGTACTCCTGTTCTTCTTTTCACTTAAAGCGGCACTTTATTTCAGTCTCAAGCACTGACACATGACCGCAACATGTTAGTAAAACAACCCAAAAATCAATCATTACCGAAGTCTTTGAGTGGTATGACAGCCTTTCAGTTGGCCCATCTTTCGGCTGCCATTGGGGATCCTAAACTCTGTCCATGAAGTGTCCCTGAAAAGTCCCTGAAGAGACCACACCCTCATCTTCCCGCTTAATTTATTTGGGTTAGTGTAACAATAACATGACAATAAAATAATTTATTAAGCAAACAATTCCAAAGGTTCAGCAAGAGGTTTTTCTTAAACCATCAGTTAGACAGCTGTGTTTTTGCAGAGCCCACATATAAGGCTGAATTTAGGGGCAGGTGACCGCTTGGAGTGCCAGGCTTGGGGGGCACCAGGCTCAGGGTGCTGTTTTTTGTTGTTAGCAACAAAAGGGAAAATAGAATGTTTGAAGTAAAATGTTTCAGGTATTCTGTATGTGGATTCATTTTTCAGTAACCTCCTAGAATGTTCTGGACCTTTGTAGAATCTCATGGAACCTTTCAGACTTTCTGAGAACTACATGTTCCTCCAACGTCCTCGAATGTTGTCAGTCGTGCCCTGGCAGGTATATAAGGGGTGGTGCGTTGCCAGTCAATCAGTGAGATATAAGAACGAACTGAAATGAGAGCCCAGCTGTGATATTGCAAACCTCGTTTTATTGTATAATTGTGAAATTGTACTTGTGTTTTAAGACTTGAACATCAAGACAGACCGTAGGTGCCAACCCCATGGGTGATCCAGGGCTGGAGTACCCATGGGAAAAAAGTACCCTATCAGCGCCTCCCGCCCACCACAGATCAGCTATTCCGCAGCGTGCAGGAGGCACTGGGGAGGAGGGGGAGAAGCAAGAGGAGGGGTGGAACAGGGCGGGAAGAGGCAGGGCAAGAAGAGGTGGGGCAGTGGGGCAAGGACAGGAAGAGGCAGGGTGGGGTGGGGCCTTGGGGGAAGGGGTGAAGTGGGGTGGGACCTGGGGTGGAGCCAGGGGAGCACCCCGTCCGAGCACATTAGAAAGTCAGCGCCTATGAGAGAGACTGACAACGCTTACTAGTTTTTTGCTTGAAAATGCCATTGGCCAGTCTTTGGATCTCTCTGATGTTGTGCTTCAGTTCGCGAGGGCAAAGGCGAGAAAAGCGACCTTTTGAACTAAAGGACTAGGGTTAACATTCTAAGTCTGTCACCTACTGTAACACTATCCAATACTGGTTCACTCAAGGTTGGTGCACAGTTCAGTTTCTTGATGGTAGTACATTTCAGTTATGCTTAAAATTAAATGTTTCATTAAGTTTAGAGGAAATATTTTTTTATTTGCTTATATATGGCATGAATAAATACAGCTGTACATATAGATCCAAGCATGCAAATTTATCATCTTATATGACAGGGATAAATCATGCATGCAAACCATGGATCAAAGTCATGAAATGAGTTACAAATGCAATAAAAAATAAGGTATTAAAAAGTTTAACAAATAGAGGGGGCACCGAAGATGCTCCTCACCTGGGGCACTGTTTGGTCTAGGGCCAGCCCTGCCCACATGTTTTGAGGACCCTGACAAGTATAGATCAGCTCCCTGTTTTTCTAAAACACCTCAGCAATTTCAACAGAGATCTTATCAGGAAGGACACAGGGTTCACTCTCCCGCCTCAACCCTCTTCTCCTCGGAGCTTCTTGCTTAGCAGGTCTCTACAACAGCCTTAGCATATCTGAGACCTACTGATTTAGCTGCTTTTGGCAATAAGCATGATCATGGATATTCTAATTATCGGTAGTGGTCCAGGCATTTTGCTGGTCCATCAAAATCTCTCTATACATCTGGAATCTGCAAATGCAAGGGTCACGATCCTGTGAGGTGCTACTGCTACCCATATGAATATGGCAATGAGAATTTGGCCTTTGTAGCAGTCATTTTCAAAGGAGTCTAAGAAGATTGGGCACTTAATTTCCATTGTAAGTCAGTAAGAGTTGGGTTCCTGACTCCTGTATGGTCTTTTGAAAATCCCAAGTTATATTAGAGCAGGCCCACTAGGTGAAGATCATACGAGGTCTGCAACCAGAGTGGCAGCTGAATTTGACGGAATGAAGCGGAGTGGAATTTTCAGAAATGTTCAGTGTTGGCCTAATTCTGTTCCTATTGAAGCCAGTGGTAAATATCCCATTGATTTCAAAGGGAGTAGAGTTAAAGCAATGCTGAACACTTTGGAAACATCCCACCTTCAGAGCTCTATTCATCCAGCTTTGGCAATTGAATTTGACCAGTCCCCTGGCTTCAGGGGACAATCTGTCCATAACCTTTGCAGAGTTTGCAATTTCACTCTTTACTTAAATCACTAACTGGACTGACTTTTTTGCTAAACCGGACTGCTGGGCTTTCAGCCAGCACAATGAGATCCATAGACTTCTCTGTCAACCTGTTACATAAGCCTTGGTTTGACAAGCCAGGCACTGCCCCTTTCATGGTGTATTGCAATCCTCATTTATTCACTGAACGGGGATTAGTAAGTGACTGGGGAGGAGAATAAATTGCAATCACCTGATAGTTTAAATACTAGATTATAGGTAAGGTCTATGCAGTAGCTAATATGACGGGCATTAGTGCTTCACGCTGCTAATTTCTTCCAACGGATAGTGATCATATTTTTATTGCACCCTTTGCATTTTAACCGGTGCAGCAATTTGCTTATTGAAAGGCAATGGAGTGGACGGATCCCATTTCCATATTTTTACTTTTTGTCCTGACTGTTCTGTTTATTATGAAAACTGAAAAATTCTGGAATAGCAACTTCCAAGAGGATTTCCCCCCGGGACCAAAGCCTTTACCCATCATTGGAAATCTGCATATAATGGATCTGAAGAGGCCCTACTGGACTATGCTGGAGGTAAATCCTTTTGGTATTTGTATTATCACATTGTTCACTAAACCACGTTATCCCCAAGGTATCAGAGGGTATCCTCCATCTCTTCTACCTGTCACTACCCGGATGTGTAATGCAATGTTAAATATAGGATCATTTTTCCTCACCCTGTGCAGGTTGAGCAAGAGAGACAGAGCTTAGAGATAGAAACCTGTAGTGAAAACCTGGCCTAATCGAAGGCAATACCAAAACTCCCATTGGCTTCAATATGACCAGGATCTCACCTGTGGTGTCCATTTACTTTGGAATGTTATAGATCCCTAACATCAGTCACGTCCATGAACCCAGCATTGTATATAAATGTTCATGGGCTTATACTTGCCACATCCAGCATAAATTTGACAGAGCTACTTAGTCATTCTACTGCATGCTAGAAACTGACACAAAGGTCTGCTTTTCAGCTGGATCTCAATAGATTCCACGTTGGGGGGGCACACGTTTGCATCAACAAATAAGTCTACCCGCTATGAATTCTGGGCACAAATTCAAGTTAGACATTTTACTCTGCAGTTTGAGTACAAGGTAGATGTTTCAATACTGTAACAGCAGGTGCAAATTTGTATCCACAAACATGCGTGCCTTCCCTAAAGATGAGACTCAGAGGAGTCAGAGTTGGGTTGTATGACCATTTCTTTGAATATTTGTCTAAATTACTTTTTGCCACAACACATTTAACAAGGAAACTGGACCAAATAGATCCCTGGTGCAACACCACTGACTTCAATGGATGAATTTGGCCCACTATGTTTATCATTCAGTATTCAAGCCTCTACTAGATACATAGGTAAAAAGTCTGGAACCTTATACTCACACTGAACTGAAATGTTTAACATTATAGAGAACCCTGACTTGAGAACATATTTTTTACCAAATCCTGCTCTCAGCTGCACCAGCCTAACATTGGAGTAATTGCATCATAGGGTTGCCAGGCATCCGGTTTTCGACGTTAAAAGTCCGCTTGGCAACGCAGCGGGAGCCCGGGGCTAAGACAGGCTCCCTG